ATTGTCCTGTTATCATGTGATGATTATGTGGTAGATTTATTCAATACTTAAAGAGCTTGTTCCTAAGTTTTTTATGCTAAACGTAGATTTATCCAATCCTTAAAGAGCTTTATCCTTTGTCTTCCATGGTGAACCGGAGATTTAGGCTTTCTTCCCTCATTTTCTTTTAAATGTAAAACATTGCATAGTTGGTTTGTTTTGTTTTGATTTCATTTTTGATTTCTCACTTTTCTTAGTTCGATCTTATCTTTCTATTTTCATTCTTCTTAAAATCACTATTTTTGTGAATGTATTGTCAATAAGATTTGATTTGATTATATTTTTCAAAGAAAATTATTTTGATTATCTTTTGAAATCTCCACTTCTTTAATCATCTATTTTTCTACAGTTGGACTTCTGGTTGAAAGCCTTAAGTTTTCTTACTGGGATTTCCATTAAGCTTTGCTTTTGTATTCTTTTCTATTAAACTCTGAGTTATCAATCTATTTTTGTACTTCAAATTCTTTTCCATTCTCCACGTATTTATCCATCAACTGCCAATCATTCGAAAGTATAGGTATAGACTTCTGGGCTTGTTGAAGCTTTTTCACTGGACATTTTCTTTTGAGTTGTTGCTCTAATTTCTTTTTTCTTCCTCCAGAGTGTCTAGAGTTGTTACGCAAGAAAATGAATTTTAATTAAGTTTAGACTTGTAAGTTTGTTCCTAATTTTAGTTTTTTCTTTCTAATAATTATCTGAAAAGCCTCTGTATTGTTGTCTTCTCTGGTAACAATTTTCGTTAAGTTTCCCAGATTTTTGGTTGATATTTTTCCTTAAAGGGTATTATTTCAAAAAAAAAAAATTCCTTAAAGGGTAGACCGAAATTTTCTATGTAGAAAATTTTGAAAGATAGATTGAAAATTCGCAACATCACTAAATCAAATATTCTTTGCAAACAGTGGAGGCATTCGAAGTCGGGGGATTTGTTGGTGGACCGGCTGTGTGTTTCTGCCTTCATGAATGTCTTGATGAAAGAGCAAAAACCTGATCACTGCTGTGTGGGTGGCTGCTCTGTCAATGATGAAAGTACAGACCATATACCAATGTGCTGCGGGTTTGGGGGATTTTGTGAGTAAAGAGCTGGAGTTATCGATGGTGGTTTTGCAGTCATGATTTGGGTTTTGTTGATGCGAAGAGAAACTAACTTTGTGAGACAAGTAAGTGACTTTTAGGCCTATTTTGATACCAAGAAAATAAAGGGAATTATATAGAACATGACGTTTCGAGGGAGAGATGGACGTAATGCAAGTGAAACACAGAGAAGGCAGAGGGAAGGAGGAAAATACTGAGGGAGGTGGCCCTGCTGCACCAAATAGTTATTGTTCATTGCTGGAATCAGTGGAACCTAACTGCAATTGCATGTGGGTGGGACAAGGAATCAATGCACCGTTTTGATCTGTATGTTACAAGTGACTCTGTTTTGCTCTTTGTTTTTGTCTCAGCAAGATAAAATATCAAGCTGAAAAAGTCAGTAGAGAATCATGGGTTTGGTGGAGACTTGATATAAGA